CAGCTGTTGTCAAAATCATCACAAAATTGTTTATTGAGTTCGATTCAATTAAGTGATGATTGCTGTGTTTTTTAATGCATTAACAAACACCAGGATTCAATTGACTCATTCAATTGTTTTGGCTGGTGGCTTTATGTTCTTTTAAAGTATTAAAAGAAATTTAGTTTGTTATTCAAAAACTCGATATCTGTTTAAAATTATTTTGGACCAACTTAATAATCTACCAAAGTAGCTTATTTGATGTTGTTCTGAGAGGATTATTTAGAAAACTCAGATTTGTAGTTTATGGAATCTAGTAGATTGATTTCCAAAGAAATTATCTACTGGGTTCTACTATAAACTAATGTATAGTGAGTCATGGAGACCTTGAAAGGTATAAATTTCATCTTGCCTAAAGGTGTTGGAATTTGTAGTTTTGGTTCTTGTGAATTTATGCTAGGCTATGCAAAACTTCTTAGAATAGTTTCTTGCCCAAAGGTGAAACCGTATTCTATATTTTGAATACAACAGACAACCTTATGTCATAGTTTTCTGTTGTAACGGTTCTATGAAATCTAATAAGTCTTCAGTGTTTGGCGTCAATTTCCTGAATTTCATAAACATATCAGAAGTTGGAAAAGGGATCTCACGGAAGATATATGTAGCAGCAGCCTCCAGGATTTGTTGAAAAGGGGAAAGAAAGTTATGAGTGCAAATTATAAGTTTCTTCATGGTCTTAAACAGGTTTAAAGACAGTAGCATCTAAAGGTTGATGAGGTGAAGGGAACTAAAGAGGTTGTGCAATATATAGCTGTTTTTTGACAGGAAATTAAGGTTACCAGAGATGCAGCCACTACTTTATGAGATTTCAGAATATATCATATTATGGTATGTGTTTGTTTTGCGAGTCGGTTGCATGGTACAAAGATGAGTAGTACAACACAAGTGTGAAGGACGAGGAGCGCTTCACCTCATTACTAGGCCTACTATCAAGCATTTCATCAGAGACACTCATTTTGTAAGTTTCTGTCTTATAAAATAAAATAACCTAACTAGTTCTCATGATTAAGATTTTAAATTGGAGAGCTAGGAAGTAATAAGTTGTTAATATTCAGAGTTTTGTTTCATACACAAGAGAAAATGCAGTTGCTTTTTGCATCCCCAATTTGCAGGAAATTTGTTCAATATTATTTTGTCAATTTGCTGTTTTTTCAAATTTTCTCTGTAGTTTAGACAAACTACGTTGGTTTTACTGTTTATTTTATGAAAAAAATAAAATAAAATAAGGGTGTTTGGTTGTCTCTCCATAATTTGGACAGAATTCAATGGCCACACTTCAGCACTTCATTGTATTCTATATATATATATCAAGACTTGTCATTTGCACTCAGCTTATTTGTTAGTTTTCAAGCAAATCGTGATGAGCCATACTGGGTTTTAGCTAAGAAGGTATTAAGATTGTTTGACTGAGGTTTTGGTTGTGAAGTTTTTTTTTTTCTCTTAAGAATTTTGTGACGCACATGGGTCTACATGAGTCTTTTGACTCAATTTAAATGTGGAAGAGCAAGGTAATTTCTACATACCTAGCTTATTTCTTTAATGCAATGCTTTTTCCTCGTGATTATTATTTTCTTTATTGAACTTTGCAAGTTTATTTTAAGTTATGTTGTTGTTCAAGCTTGAATTTCCATACTGGAAACAATGTTAGGAGTTTCTTGGGAACTCTATTATTTGGATCAGAAATGTGGGAGTTATTTTGGTACCTAACTCTTCACTTATACCGTTATGTCTACAGTAATGTGTTTCTGGTGTATGTGTATGTGATCTTGGAGCGCTGGTACAGCTGAATTTGTGTCAAGTTTTCTAAGATTCTGCATATGCATCAGTTTCGACAACTGTTTTGGGAGTAACACTGATGGTTGATGAACCCAGTGATCACTGTTGTCTTGTTTTGATATGGTAAAATGTAATTATGCTACACTCATGTGGGAGAATGTAAGATGACTTATGTGAGTTGGCATAATCACATGTTGTGTTTATCATATTAGAACAAGATAATAGGGTTTGTATTTATCAGTTGTACTAAGACTCCTAGTTTTGACAGACTTGGTAGCTATATTATATTGATAAGGACTCAATTGCTTACGTTTATCAGTTTGTTTAAACACTAACTCTATCTATAATAGGAGAGTTATGGTTAAGGTTTGATCAATATAAAAGGACCTGATCCCTGCACTCACAAGTCGCCAAGTTCTATTTTGGGCTTGACCTATTGATAGCTAGAACATATTGAGACTTGCAGAGAGTAGAAGATCGTTCTTGTTTCATCTATGTATTCCTTGACAATTATGTATCAATAGTGAATCTGTTATTAATATTGCATAAGTCTTATGTTGTAATCCTTTGTGATGTTGATATGCCGCTAGAGGTGTATTCTTACAAACTGAAGATTACTCATTTATTATGAGTGCCAATCTTGAATTTGCTTACCATTTTTCACAACTGAAAATTTTCTGCAGAAGATTACTCATTTATTATGAGTAACATAAGACAAAAAAATAATGTTACCAGCTCTTGAAGCTTTCAAAAGAGGATTCACAAGTTGGGAAAAATGGTAAGCAGAGTCAAGATTGGTACTCATAATAGATGAGTAATCTTCAGTTGTGCTCTAGATTGCTGGTTTTAGTTCGGTAGTTCCCACGTTTATCTACAGCCAAAGTCCAAGAGTAGTTTAAAACATAAAATGAAGGTTTTATATTCATAATTGGGAAACAAATACCACCCTTATTTAATCGGGCCGGACTTATGCTGTGTTAGGGCTAACCCGGTCCATTTTAACACCTCTATTTCAGGAGCAATGGACCAGTTGGCAAAAAACTTAGCATGTGAGTGGGCAAAAGACAACATAAGGACCAACAGTGTTGCACCTTGGTTCATCAAAACTCCCCTCACTGAGCTTGTAAGATCCTTTCAAAAATTTCCATATGATCGTGTCTTTAAAATTTTCTAACATGTTATGTTATGTTGTTAAACTGTTAATCAGTAACTGCACATTTAAACTCGAACTTTCCCCATGCATAACATGCGCATTCATCTTCTCTATGGTCTCTTCATTACTTGCAGCTTCTGAGTAACCAAAATTTTTTGGAGGCTGTCAACTCTCGATGCCCTTTAGGACGGATTGGAGAGCCAAAAGAGGTGTCCGCCTTGGTGGCATTTCTATATGCTTCCCTGCAGCGTCTTACATAACCGGCCAAACTATTTGCGTTGATGGAGGGTTCACTGTCAATGTCCTCCTCTTCCAAGGACCATGAAAAAAATTATATATGTGATTTGTGTGCTTGCTAGTAGTAGGAGAAGCTAGAGATCTCTCTGGTTTCCTTGTCTTTTGAATTCGGAAGCTCCTCTGAT